TTGCAGCAACTACATCACTTTTCATGGAGGAATTTCTGGACTCTGAATATCTGTTTAATGTAACCTTTTGTGTATGTAGACAGCAACAGATTTGTCCTTTCTTGTCAATTTATAGCAGTTAATCACCAAATGATCACAGATTGCATATAACTGACTCCATTTTATCACAAACCTAAACTGTGCACAAAAGCTGCTTTGAAGACAGACCTGATTGCCGTCCTTGAGGCAACCATTTCAAATTTCCAGTCTATTGCACACGGTCACATTAGTATTTAGCATCTGATTACCACTTGCTCATAGTAATCGTATGATGACTAATTAGCTGTTTTTTTTCCCCCCCAAATGCAACTGTACCTGTAAAAATACACAAACAATTAAAACACAAAAAAGAAGAAAAAAACAAGTGACAATGGACTCTGAGTGACTGAGGTTCTGCAATTGAATTTCTAAGAAGTTTACAACGCAGTAAGCAGTAATTAAAATAATAAAAATATAGGCTGGGAAGTGCGTTTCACTGCTGCCACACATCAGCACGGTTTAAGCTTTGGCTTATTCAACCCACTGAGGAACTTTTTCTGCAGGCATGTATGCATTCAACCCAGGCATGAGTGGCCTTCTTGCTTTCCTTCACAGTCTAGTTACATGCATGTTTGGATAACTGAATAGATTCAAAGATTCCAGCTGAGATTAGTTTTTAGTGTGAATGGTCATCTGTGCGTCAGTGTGCATTATTCCCTCTATTACACCATCTTATTTGAAATAAGCTTCATCCTGCTCCAACCTTGCATGCAACAGTGTGGAATGAATAAACGTTCCAGCATTTTTTTCTTTTCTATTTCACTTTTGTTTTCTAGCTTATGAACTCGCGCTGTCACTGCACAGCCTTTTAACCTTTTAGTTGCTGTTGTGGGTTAAGATAAAATAGCCATACTAGGCTTTTGGTTGCTGGGATGTTGCTTCGTTCTAGTTCTTCATCATTTAACACCCACACTGCAAAGAAATTGCACGAGTGACAGTTAGTGACTTTGTAGGACTTTTCCTCTTTTTCTTAGACTTTGATAATGGCTTTACATTTTTATTAATTTCACCTTTCAAAGCTCTTTGCTAAAGTTTTACAGCATTTCCATAATGACCTTCTTTGAATGGGATGTGAAGTATGGCCCTAAATTCAAAAAATGTGAACATCAATAAAACAGGTGCAATAATAAGACAAGAAAATAGACAATAGATCTTGGGAACAGACATTCAGTTTTAGACATTAAAGATGTTCATGTGTCATCAGCAGTAAGAAACGAGTTTTCATCATCATCATCAACATCATCATCATCATCATCATCATCATCATCATCATCAATATGATCACCATCAATATGATCAACATTTAAGTCAGTGTTACAGCAGCATGACATGAATATTTGTCTTCTAATCCAGGATTAAAGTCGGGGGATCTAACTGTGATCAGCGGGGACTGATAGAAGAGGGATAGATGGAGGAGTAAATGGGCAGAAGTGAAGGGAAGAAGAGATGGAAAGGAAACAAAACAGACAGACCTTCTGCATCCTGTCTTGTTCCTCCTTTACATATATTGTGTCTGTGAGTGTGAGTGTATGTGTGTGCTTCTGTTTTACTGGCAGGATGTATGCATTTACTGCAGCTTGCATCCCGCTGTGCAGCAATCTGTTAGCACTTCCTTAGGTTCCTTTGTTTACCAGAAACAGCATACCTGGCTGAGGTTCTGAGCTGGGAGTGAAATGTAGTGAAATGTTGCACTCGCACAAACACTTGTTGCCTCAAAGACTGAGTGTATGCACTCTGCAGGATGCTAGGGACAGGGCAGTTTCTTCTAAATGTAACTTATGATGGTTTATGACTTATGAAATGCTGTTTTACAATTGCAGCAGTAAGTGTTTTGCTGGGCGTGAGAAGCATCATGGCAAATATAAATATGCTTTACCTTTATTGATTCGATGGATGCTTCTATTCAAAGTTATGGCGGTAATGTTTTTCATTCCTGTGCTATATATGTTGCTAGAGGTTTTTTTTCCTTCCATTTATGCTTTCAATCACTATTTGACGTTTTATTAGCAGTAATGCAATACTATATGCCTTTCATTAATGAATGTCTTTTTCTCTATTTCATATTAAGCAGGACTATGTTCAAGACAAATTTCCTCTTGGGGACAATAAAGGTTATTTGGCTTGATTGAATTATTTGAGTTCTGTTTCAGCTGACCTTAGAGTCTAAGGTCAGAGGAAAGCATTTTACATTGATTGTAGAACTAATTGTCTTTAATTGGTGTATCATTGGACACAGTTCATAAACATGAGTTAGGATAATCACATAGACCGATGCTACACCAGTGAATTATCTTCATTTATACCATACTTTTTAAAACAGTGGGTTATTCCATTTTCGATGTGTGCTTCAGAACTAGCTCTCAGCTTGCCTCATGTTGTGATTTTGTGGATGAAGTTTTATCTACTATGTCGGTCTCTGTTATCTTGTTTTATGCTTCCCCCCCAAAGACACAAGAAAAATGAGTTTCACTCTATTTTTCTCCTTCTTTTTCTAGTCTGGCAGTGTGCCACAGTGAGCACAGATCCTATAGTGAGGGCTTAGATAATGAGCATACACGGTCACACAGTAACATAGTGTTCAACTGGCGGCAGCCGGCGACATCGTCACTGTATGTGGCGCCAATATGTTGTGTGTGACAGTGTGCGTTTTCAGATTTTCCCCTTGAGCATGGGATTACTTTGATTGACAAGTGCAATTGCTGGTTACCACCATCTTGGTTTTTACAGATGTCACACGAATTTGTCATGTTGGGATCGCTATAGCAACAGCATCAGGGATTGTCTCACCTTGATTTCAGAGGGATGCCATGTTTCGTCACCTCATACTGTTATTCTGCCAATCTGTCAGTCAGTCTGAATCAATCTGAGATGCTTGTTAGGCCTGCTGCCTGGGAAAATAATAATTATTAACATGACTGCAAAGCAGAGCTGTGTTGGGCAGTCTTTGGTTCCACTATAGCACCAGGAAGGACAAAAGGGGAGATGACAAATCTTAGTTTTACAAGATGTAATGTAATGTAATGTAATCCAGGATTAAATAATGAATACAGCCGTGGTGTCTGCTATTGTGAAGCCTGATGGTGTCTTCACAATAAAACCAGCTCCATTCATAAAAGCTGGCACGAAGAGGATGAGTTACAATACACACCAAGGGAAATTACATTTTTGATGGGGTGGGTGGTGCTGAAAATATGGAGAAAATTTTATAATAAAGAAATGAGTGTGCAAAATATTAAGTATTCTTTGGCAGGTAGACTGAGAAGAATCCTAGCTGAAAGTAAAAGATGGTGACTGGACAGAGTTCAACCAAACTAAAAACTTGAGAGGGAAAAAAAAGATGATACACAGAAATAATGTTGTACATTATAAAATTTACTGAAATAACATAAAATATGCATAAAATTTACAGGCTTTAGTTTTAGTCTTTGGTGCATCTGTTTATTGAGTTATCTGCACTGAAAATGTGCTGTGTTCTTATTCTAATACCTGTGCAGAACCTCCATATAGTAACAGTTAAAAATACTAAAATGAACAATCAAAACTGAAACTGAACATTTTAAAATGGTAAAAACTCAACTGGAATGATACCCTCACCCAGGCACCACCCACCCCCAACACTGCTCACTGGTGGTGGTGATGAAATCATGGCTCCTGAAGACTTTGGATGAGGTGCCTGAACAAAACACATGATGTACAGTAGAAATGGGGAGGAGGAGGATCACTTCGCCATGCCAGACCCCTTCAAGGGAGAGTGGAAGATCACAGTGGATTAAAAGACTGGTGATAAGAGGCCGACTGGCTGCGTAGACACAGTTTGTTGGACAGGAACATTGACATTTTGAATGAGGTGAATTTGACAGTGTGAGATAATGTATGTGCTGAAGAGTAAAAGGCAGCAAGAATAGGCGATGTTACCAACTAACTTCCTTCCTGGCTTCCACCTTCTTCTGTGTACATGTTGGTTGTGGGGATAATGAGTTGAGCTGTGTTGATGTTTGCAAGCATCTCTCCTGATAGGATTTTGTCAGAGAGCCGGCACAGTTGCATCCCAGTTTGTGTGGCTTTGTGTCTTCATCCTCAGCTCAGTGGATGCATCCATCATGGCAGGCGGTTTTCCTTCTTTAACACTGCTCTCTTCTGCCAAGGTCAGCTCATTATATCCATGCAGCTCAGTACTGGTCCCATTGTATTGCAGGCTCTCAATCTCTCACTTTAATAGCAGCTTCCTCTCACTGATCTTAGGGCACTGAGCTACAGGATCCTTCTTGGTTAGTGTGGATGTTCTTCTGCTCGTCCATAATTTTCATGTAAGGTCTCTGCTCGGTCCTACTGTTATAGCAGTCTTTAGGGTGTATGATGTTCTTAATCTGGGGGATAAAAAAAATAATTAAATGCGAACAGTTAGGCTGAGCACCAGTTGTTATAAAGTGCTCACTATTTCATATTGCCAAAGTTTTACTGTGCAGTCATCAAATGGATGTTGATTTTAAATAATTTAAGCTATTATTTTCAATTCAAATGATATAATATTAAATTCTTTGCTAAGAAGAATGGTTTTTTCTTCTTCTTCTTTTTAGATGATTAGTGTGTTTGTTTAAAACAAATGTTTATTTGTATTTTCTTATCAAGGAATAACCTGAAATAAGGAGGGGAAAAAAGCTCATGCCCTGCCACGCTTGATCTGGTGGTAGTAAATCAAACATTAAGCCCAAATACAACTCTTTGATGTCACATGATTGCACTGATGGGGACCCTCACTGATGTAAGAATGAGTATCTTTGTCTTGTAGGGGTCACAAGATAAGATTTCAACTCTAATTTTTGTCTGTTTTGTCACAGACTCCTCCAGTTGTTTCTGATTTTGAGCATATTAAACTGCGTCGCTGTGTTCATGTTTTCTCCCCTCTGTGTCTCTTTCTGCAGGTTAACAGACCTGTCAGGCTCTCTCACAGATGGTCCATTCAACTATAAGTACAAGACCAAGTGCACTTGGTTAATAGAAGGATTGTAAGTACCACTGTTTTTATCTTCCACATGTCATCATTAATCTTACTTACTTCCACTTGGATAAAGACTTTATTCTGTATCTAACTTAAGGGCTCTAGATAAGAGAGACTGTATTATTCTGTAAAAAGAAGGAGTTTGTCTGTGAATATAGTAGTTACTGTGCTTCGCAGTTGCTTTTTGCATATTTACTGCTCATGCTGCACCGACTGAAAGTGCTTCATTTGCAATTTTTTTCTCTTGCTATGGAAATACAATGCTTGCTTGCACTACATGTAGTATACAGTGGTAGACCACCATGTAAAAGTCACAGAATGGCAATCATTATTTTCTAACACGGTGTGTAAGGTTATACATTTAATGGTCTCTGTATGCTCTGGAATGTTAGATGAGCTCTGGGCAAAGCAATGAAGATGTCCACGATCTCCTTGGGAAATGCTGAAGGGCAGCTCAGGCTCCATAATATATTACTACTATTATATATGCTATTATTTATTTTACTGTACTAGCTGCATTTTCTCTAAGAAAGATGAGAGAAAGTTACTCAAAAGTGAGTTCAAGCTAATTTTATTTGTATATCATATCACACATTCCCTTCAGAAGGCTTTAACTACTGGATGGGGTGCCAAGAGATTTGGAGCAGATATCCATGGACTGTGACTGAAAATGTGATTTTCAGGCATTTTGTTGCACAACAAGAAGGTCACCTTGCCAACACATTTCAACTCCCAACTCGACACTTAATGGGATTCACAGTAGTGCGTTTGTGTCATTTTGTGTAGGTTTTTGGTTACTGAATAGAAAAGGAAGTGTCAAATTGTAACTCTCTGCTGGTTATCAGCTCTTTGTATTTTATAAATTCGGGCTTGGTGGCTGAAGGACCAACAACAACACAAGCCAGTTGTTCCACATATATTCTTTTAGTCAGCTCCCAGCTAACATCTACATGTAGAGGACAGTCTACAAAGTTCTGCACACTCTCTGATAGGACCAAAGCACCAAAGCTTCTCCTTTCTTGTTATACTTTAACATAAACTTCACTGATATGTCTCCATTTACAACACGTCACATTACTGTGACAACTTTTGCCCACCGTGTTGTTGTGCCCATTTCAGACATTGAGGCATTCATTAGAACAAGCTGCACAATGAAAAATGATGCTAAATGGTTACTGCCAATCATTTTTACACATGCTTTAAAACGTGCTACTCAGCTAATATGAAGGATGATTTTAAGTGATAGCTTCATTTTTAAAAAAATTTATTTTTTAATGACAGATTGCTATAAAATCTCCAGAGCATATTCATTTGTCAAAGAGGAATAAATAAATCAGGTATGAGCTAAGAAAAGAAAAAATCTCCTCCATCACACCCTGGTGTATTTAAATTTGCAATGATTGTACAGTGCAGATTTTCCTTCATTTTAACGTCTAGGTCCTTATCACATCAATTATCATTAGGACTTTTATTTTTTATTTTTTAACCAATTAGGTATGCATGTCCACATATGGGAGACAATGATTAGTTCCCTGGTGTTTGCCTTCATGTGTAAAATTGGTTGATTATCATATGCAGGTTTATCTAAAGCTGAAATAAAAGTTTATTTCAGGATTGGACCTTTACAAAACTAGCATACTTGATACTAATAGTCTGCATGTGAACAGACACCGCACGAAATGCATCTTCTACAGTGCTGGCATTAGGCAAGGACACATCTCACAAGGATTTTAATACAGCAAAAAGGTTTTCTGCAGTGAGTGTGAGTCCCTGAACTGTCGATTTATGATCTTAACCACAGATTTTATGAATAGTGGAGACACTTCTATAAAGTAAGAATCATATGAAGCTTATAGGTAGTATATATATTTATCAAGAGTATTTTTGTCACACCCGTTTATTCTGCATTCCCTCTCTCCCCGTCTCCCAGCCCCAACGCTGTACTCAGGCTTCGCTTCAATCACTTTGCCACAGAGTGCAGCTGGGACCACATGTACGTCTATGATGGAGACTCCATTTACGCCCCTTTGATTGCTGTCTTCAGGTGAGCACCTGCTAGTCTGAATAGGAGAGCTGTGCAATGGAGGAAATATGTAAATGACTTAGGTACCCTTTGGCACTGCTTCAAAAGTGCCAATAAATTTGTGCTTGTGCAGTCAAATGACTCCATGTATGGCCAAACAATGGACCCCATAATTGCTGGCTTACCACAATACAGCAATAATAGAAAGAAAATACTGCAATTACTCACATTATTCCTGAATGCCACTTCTTTTTCTCGAGATTTATTCTGTACTTTGTTCTTTAGAAGGGAAAAAAGAGCAATCTACAAGCATGTGGGTGGAACTCTTTCATTTCATGCAAATTCATTAAAACAGTAATGCTGCAATATTTTACCAACCTCCCACTTATTCTAATCCACTGAGGCTTATCTCTTGTTAAGAGTTCAGTTGTTTCCATAAAGGGGCAATTTGGACTATTTCAAGAAAAATATATAAAAATATCTGCCATTTGATCATACATAGTCTTGATTTGTGTAGCATTCTTACCTACAGTAAGTAAACTTAAATTGTTCATTATGGATGGGTACCTCCGCTTTGCATTGTAAAAAAACAAACACTAGTTCCTGCAGGGAGCTTGGGCTCAGTGTGGACATGGGTACATTTACAGTGCATTGCACGGATTAAAAGTGACAACCCGGTCCCCACAAAAAATCATAATCAAACGAAATTTAATTTGCCACTGCACTGCAATGTTTTTTACTTCAAGGCTAATTACTGTCATGTATTTTCTGTGGGGTGGCAGTGCTTTCAGACTAGAGCACATCATACACCAAATACATTTCAGAAAACCTTCTGTTATTATTTTGGGTCCACGGGGGATGTCTGTCTTTGCAGGTCTCATTGCCTTTCTGTTGAATTCTTTTCTCAGCGGTCTAGTGGTGCCAGAGACCAGAGGTAATGAGACAGTTCCTGAGGTTGTGACAACGTCCGGCTACGCTCTGCTTCACTTCTTTAGTGACGCTGCCTACAACTTGACTGGTTTCAGCATCGCCTACTCGTAAGCCTCAATATTGTTCTTACCGTCACTCATTTTCTTGTCTTCACCTGTTTGTTTTTCCCATCCTCTGTTTTTCTGACACCCCCCACCCCCATCAATGTGTCCACTATTTGACAGATTACCAGCTTGTCGTGGAGGACAAAAGTAGCCAAAGAAATGTAATTGTTCCAGTTCATGATCAGTCTGTTCTCTCCGATATAAACAAAAGAGAACACATCTTATATTTGTATTTATACTGAAATTTGTACTGAAATGTCAGCCAAATACCAAATCCTGATAGCATCAGCTTGTTAATGTGTGCTTATTTGTGGCAGCAGATCAAATGCATCATCAGCTAATTGATTTGCAATATCAAGCAGTTACATCGACAGCTTACTAAGTGTTTATTTTTACCAAATGCTATGGCTGTGCTATATTTAGGTGTGCTTCTATTGTCTGCGTGATTTCATTTGTCACTTGTAGGGCAATGAAATTAGTCTCACCCAGGATTTTCCCATTAAGACAAGTCAAAGTGACACGAAAAGTTCAATACAGACAGAAAGTGCGCAACAGGCTCATATTATTAATATTTTGATAAGATAAGATAAGACTTTACTGATCCCACGACAGGGACATTTTTGCATTAATGAGAACTTAACAAGGTAAAAAATTTAATCTGTATATTCCAAAATTAAGCAAAGGCTTTATAAGAGTTTTTGCAGCTTCTCATTATCATCTGCTGCCAGACTTTGACTTCAGCTTGTAGTGGCATTTGTTCCCTGGGGCGACAGAGAGAGACGATCACAAATTTTTGTGTGTTGGTGGCTGATTTAACAACCGTGATCACTGATTGGGATGATGCCCACTCATGTGAACCTGGTTATGTAGAGAGAAAACTTGGAAAGACATATAACTGGCAGCTGTGTGTGGATACTCTCCCAGGAAAACAACACAAGAAGAAGGGGGGAAAAAAGAAAAAAAATCCAGATTTTTCACACCACCTAGCTTCTTGGATTTGGTAAACCACATGCACTATTAGCTACACTAATAGTGTGTTCAGAGACATTGCATAAGCAGGACACATGACATTTAAAGAAAACTTACCAGGAAGCCTCATAATGCTCTCCAATGTTGCTCTCTATAAAACCACAGTTGAATTACAAATGGCAACAGTAAGCCGGTCTCCATTTCTGGGTGTCTGTTGCTGGTGGGGACAAAAGAATCCAAGGTCACTGGGAGAAACTCACGTGATTGGGGAAAAAAAAGAAGAAGAAAGAAACAAAGCTGAAATACTTTCAGCTAGCACAGATCATGAAGACACCATTATGTGGCACCACCTGGTGAGGGGCTCAACATGTAATAGTCAAGCAAGGCAAAATTATAATCTATAATCACAGCTGTGTCATCTGAATTGACAACAATGCTAACTTACATCCATCCTCCTATCAGAAACTTTGACACAATCCACAAAATGTTCTTGCTGCCTATGGTGCAAATCCCATGTCTTTTTTTTCTATATATGCTTCCAGACACCTCTTTAGCTTTGGCACGTTATCTATGGGCTGAAAGCCGTTGAAGTTCCCAGTCTGATGAAGTCATAAAGGAAGTTGCTTTTGCAGTTGTTTCTTTTCTTTTTTTCCTTTAGCTGGTTTTGTGTACACCATTTTTCTATCTTCTCACAAATGCTCATCACTGTCAGGCAGGGCCTTTGATATGTAATAATAAACTTAATGTTATTCATCACTTTTGTGGTTCACACAAAATCTCAAGTGTGGGATGGTTATGGCTTAGGGAGGTAGAGCAGGTCATCTACTAATTGGAAGGTTGGTGGTCAGGGAGGGATCCTTGGATATCCAAGATTCTGAACCCCAAGATGCTCCTGATGCATCATTGGGGTGTGAATGTTAGATAGAAAGCACTTAGATGTGGAAAAAAGTGCTTGTGTGAATGGCTGAATGGGACATCTTGTATAAAGTGCTTTGAGTGCTCCAGTAGAGTAGAAAGAGTGCTATATACATTTACCATTTACTCGGACTGAAGGCCAGCCAGTCTGCCTCGCCATGCCAACTGGGAACGGTGTTTGGGAGACGCTGTAACATTGCTGGTTTTTGTTTCCTGGCTCTGCTAAAAGCTCAGTCGTACAGGACCATTCACACTGTTCATGTAGATTTCTATCACCCCTAACGTTAAACCAACCCACTTTGTGCAATTAGTGATGGTCATGTAATGCAATGTAACTCCTCCCAAGCTGGACACCTGCTTGGGAGGAATACGTGCATTTACACAGGTTCTTCTTAGCACACACATACACATACAGACGCACACACATGCCCACGGAGAGGAGATGAAGGTTGTCATGACAACACCCTTGTTACGGTAGCAAACCAGCTTTTTGCATTAACAAAAACATGATTCTCCGCCTCTGGTCCTTCACATCTTTCCCCCCCAATTTTTCTATCTCTTTCATCTCAAACTTATCTGATATTCCATAGAAACGCCTTGTAATGTCGGTCTCAGTGCTTTTTGTTCCGTTTTGATTTTTATGTGCAATTTCTTTGTTCCACCTCCGTTTCCCATTTTCAGTCACGTCTGTCTTTTTCTTTGCGTTTTCCTCACTGTGTCTATAATTTATCTTGTTTAAAATCAGAGGTAGTTTAGCTCCATCTCTATTGTGTGTCACATTGTTTATTTTTGCATAACATTCAGTTAGATTTGGTGGCTTTTATCCAAAGCCACTTACAGTAAGTGGATTCAAACTTTAATGTAAGCAGACTCAGATGGCATCGAAAACAGGAAGTCCAAATCTACACAGTGATGCCTTCGTGTATTTTTAAGGTTCTTCTTCTTTTTCAATGTTATTGTTAGGTTGAGTTCTGATTTCTCATTTCATTTCATTATCATTTTTTTGCATGCTTAGTTTACTCTTCAAGTCTTATAGATTTAAGACATCTTTAGTGTCACTTTCTATTCTGACTTTGCTATAATTCACTCAGTCGCTCCTATTCCTGTCTCACCTTTTGTGTATCCCCCCTACTCCCTCTTGTGTCTTGGGTTTTATTTCCAGTCTGATTGTCTTGATTATGTTCAGCTGTGCCCCTTTCCCATTTCCCACCTGTCTCCACTTCCCCAATCAGCCCTTTTTGTCTGTTTGGATTGTGTGTTGTTTCTCCTGAGTTCCTTGTGTAAATTTCCTGTATTTCAATGCCAAGTTGTTTGTTTTTTTTTGGGTATGTATTTGGATTATTTATCTTTTGTTGTCTTCCCGACAAATCTGATGTTCATATGATGTTTCAGTTTCACGCAGCAAGACTGAGTGAACATTCTTTGCTACATTTTATTTAATAGTAAGAAGTAGTTGATGTACTTTGTGGTTATTTAAAAATGATACAAGATGTTTGTATACAAAAGCCTTGAGAGGGAAGTAAGAGAATAATATATCCTAGGGATGCATTTTTCTTTTCTGTTCATGTGTGGTCATCAGCTAGTTTTTGTTATGTTGAAGGAGAGGTAAGACGATTGAGTAGTAGTAGAACAAACGTTGTTGGCTGATAGTCTTGAGTTTTGCAAAGTTTATTTATTTATTTTTTTTTAGCTGGAAGAAGCAAAACTGGATTAGCTTAAAATGAGAAATTCAAAGAACTGATCAAAAATGACAGCAGGACTCCTGATAAAAGAATTAAGAAGATTTGATTGTCTTGCCTCTTTAATGAGATGAGAACCTCAATTTTTACCGGGGTTGATAACGAGGAAATTGGAAGACTTTTAGATAGCAATGCTGGTGAAATATTCACTGAAGTTAGTGACAGTTTTGATGGTGTTGGGCATATCTGCTGAACAGGCGTTCCAGCAGATATTGAACATGAATCCACTCTAAAGCAAATAATACACACATCTAACATGTAAAGGTAAAAAATAGCAACTTTGGCTATCAGTAAATTTTACTATAAGTATATAAGTAGATGACTGCAGTCGCCTCAGTTAATATTTCATGAGGCATGCACAATATCTCAAGGCCACATACTCATCTAAAAATAATATCTGGCCCGTCACAGTCAAGTATTCTCTTTTGCTCATGGCTCTCCATAACCTTGAAGATGTTGTTTGACTTTCTGGCTAACTGTGTCTCCCGCAGGATAAACTCTTGTCCCAACAACTGTTCGGGCCACGGCAGATGCAGCACTGCGAACTCGGTCGCAGGACGTGTGTACTGTGAGTGCGAGGAGTACTGGAAGGGGGACGCATGCGACATCCCTTACTGCAGAGACAACTGTGGCAGCCCAGATCACGGCTACTGTGACCTGACCGGGGAGAAGCTGTGTGTCTGCAACGACAGCTGGCAAGGTAAGAAAACGGAAGGCTGAATTTTATTGGGGAATTTAAAACTTAGTTTAGTGATACATAGTAAATGAGGATTTTATTGGGGGAAACTTGGCTTCATGTGGTGCAGCCAGGATGGCAAAACAGGCACTTTAGCTTGGTGCTACTGTAATGGGCTTCCTGCAGTGAAGACAGGAGTGGAGTGCAGGCGAGATGATAACAGAGAGGAAAAGGATAGGGATAGTTTAAAGTGCTGTATCTGAACTTTCAGGACCTTATTTATTAATTCATGAAGTGTTCACAAACACAGTAACCACTGATCCAGTAAGTATTTTGTACACTGATGTCTACAACTGTAGTCTAAAATGGGGCAAAAATGACTCTGAGATATGACACCATGTTTTTAGAGATGCTTCTTATTGGATTCTAGTCATGCAAACACATTTAAAACGGTTAATTTAGTCCAGTTTCATGATGCTTTTTTTAGTCATTAAATGAACAAATGAGCGCAGTGTGAGTTTTTTGCTTATGCTTTCCTTTCGGTTTTGCAGTTTTCAATATTAATATGAAAAGCAATTGAAAGCACAATCCCAGTGTCCTCTTGGTTTATGCCTAACACAATGCTGCCTGAATCAGTATTCTTTAATATCATAAAATATTATACGGGATTCCCAGGGAAATGTTCCCTAGTGGCACAATATATATCTAGCTTCATTTTTTTTTTTTTTTTTTTTTTTTTTTATATTGCAGTCATAAACAAATCCCTCTTGCGGTTTCAAAATCAACAACTTTATTTCAAATGACGTTTTCTGACTGAGAGTGATTTTAGACTAATTTCTTTTTATAAGAAAAGCGGCTTTTCTTGGTGCTGTTCGCAGAGGTTTCATCATTTGTAAAAGGCTTTTGCATGAAATGAAAGTAACTGTTAAGTCACATTCTTCAGCCAGTATTTACATCTTCTAAAGCACCGGTTACAGATTTACGTGTTTCGGTTCAGTTTTTGTAGTTAAAACATGGATAATCACGAAAATCTGACCAACTGCATGTTCATTCGAGATTCAGATCCAGTTTGATCCTAAATGTCTAACAAACATATTAAGAGAATACATAAGAACAATTCAGCAGACAACAAAGTCTGTTGAAGTTGGATGGTGAAGTGCTGCCCCCTCCTGGAAGGATAATGATAGCACAAGGAGAAAGGAAAACCAACCAACAATACAATAAAAATCTCCAAGAATGAAGATTAAAAATGGATGCATTTTAAAAGCAAAAAAAAAAAATAGGCAAATATCCCAAATTGTACAGTGATGAACAGCAGGCTAAGCAGTATTTACCCAGTGTTGTGTATGTCAGTTACATTTTAGTTTTTCAGAAACAAGACACCAAATTGATGAACTGATTATGTGTTATAACTAAACAGATTAATATGAGAGGTGCTACAGTAGGAACATATTGCTAAATGGCAATGATCGCATACTCTGTGACTCGTTAAATAAAGACCCAGTTTAAGTACAACAATAGGAAAAAATATTAAAATCATTTAATATTTAACACTTCAGTTTTAGGGATATGTATGTGAGTGTAAAATTCAGCAAATATGCTGTCTATTTCAGTATTTGCTTTAAGTTTTTTAGACACAAAGACATAAGACTAATCCTAAAATCAAAGGTGTGTGTGTGTGTGTGTGTGTGTGTGTGTGTGTGTGTGTGTGTGTGTGTGTTGGTAGAAAAAAAACCTGCTCACAACAATGCTTGTTGATTTATTTATTTATTTACTTTTTGAGTAATGAAGTCATAATTTGCACAAAGGGATATCGGTTAACATTTTTTTTTTTTGGTGTTTTGACAGCCACAAAGGTATCATCTCTGAACCTAACTAAGTCACTTGAAAACAATTCAGATGGACTGTGCTATCCATCTATATGACAGTGAATGAGTCAGATTCTGAGCTTTGGGATTCAGCCTCTTATTTCTACAGATCACAAATTGTTCACACAAAAGCAACAGAGACACCAGTGAGGCAAAGGGATGTATGTGTATCTGTCTGGTAATGAGTGAGGTGGAGGCAGATACAGAGCCTCGGAGCAGGCATCAGAAACACAAACGGGCTTTTAATAAAGGTATTGGTCACCATGGAAACCACCAGTTGGCATCACCAAAAAAAAAAAATGTTTTTTGCATTAATGGAAAGAGCATTTTCTACAATTTGTCCTTCATTCCCCTCTTCCCTCTACCCCCCGCAGAAAGAAAAGTGCTGAATGCGTCTGTGATCGAGTGCTTTTCATTTATCTCGTTTTCTCACGTCTTGCTTTAATCACTCGCCTGCAATGTTAGAAAACCCTCATTTAATCTGTAAAGATGTGCTTTTATTCTCGACTGCCATCTGAATAAGCTCTGCTTTGTGGTCTGTCAGTTTTCTCACTTTGAGTTAAAATGTTTTAATGTGCTTTACAAAATAATAAGTAAAAAAAAAGATAAAATCATTTAAAATAAAGGGGTTTTTTTGCATTATATAAATGAGTAGAAGCAAAACTGTTCACTGAAGAAAACACGATCAGATCAATTAGTGAAACTAAAGAAGGCAAAACGGTGACGATGGGTTCAAGGAAGAGCAAGAAAAAGGTAAAGGTCTGAGGGAAAAGTATAAGCTTTAGAAAACAATGGACAGATGCAGTGAATAACGAAAATGTATATTTTAATAAAATGTATTGTAGAAGTGGTCTTGTTCTTTTTTTTAAAAGATATGAGGTTGCTCATCATCTGCTCATAAATGAGCTCGAGTTGTGTTTGGTGCCTATTCATAGAACAGCCACTAGGTGGCACCAAAGTAAAATAAATAAATAAATAGACTGGCAACCTGTTAAGGGTGTTCATAGGCTACAGTTCCCCCATGACCCTGAACTGGATAAGCACAATAGGATTTATAGATTGATATTTAAAGAAAATTGAATTCATTTGCCCTTTACTACCTGTAAAATAAATATTGGAAACAATGTATGTACGAATTCCAAAAAGTGAAACATGTCCGTCCTTTTGCCTCCATCAGGTCCAGACTGCTCTCTTTCCGTTCCCTCCACTGAGGCTTTCTGGGTGCTGCCCAGCATTAAACCATCTGCTCAGTCTCTGGGTCGAGCGTCCCACCGGGCTCTGGTGCATTCTGGGTTGATGTGGGTGGTGGGAGGTTACTCCTTCAACTACTCCAACTACCAAATGGTCCTCAAGTAAGACACATCCATCTGACTTAGTCGACTGTGATTGTCTTTGAGCTTTTGCACTTTTCCTACTCTTTCCCTTTGTTTAAAGCTACAACCTAGAGACCAGCACGTGGGATGTGGTGCCTGTCAGCAGCGGCCCTCTCTACAGATACGGACACTCACTGGCTCTGCATCAGGTAATCCTGCTTAAGTTTTATATTTCACCAATGCTAAAAACAAGAAACAGGTACTACTCCATACTACTCCACAGCAGTGAAATTGTGGACCACAATCAGAAGGTTTTAGCATTTATTCTGGATTCTTAGCTTCATATGCTGCCTTCCTCATGTGCTTACCAGACAGTGTTGAATCATTATATTTGACTATTGTTGGAATGGAGTGGTGTTGTCAATTAATAGACTTCCTCAGTACAGATGTTCAAATTAAAGAATTAACTGACTGCCTTGAATGCGTGCTTCTTTCTTCATTTTGATAAATATTAAATAAGTCTGCTTTGACATTGTATATATCATTTATGGGGGGGGAAAAAGCCCAGACAACAAACTGATTAGAAGTGTATGTGTTGCAGTCCATGTCTAGAAACAGCTCTTGCTCTCTGAAGTTATATGGGGTCATTTCACAAGACTGAGGCGTTTCTAGGAGACTGGCCCATATTTCAGCTTACCTATAAAGAAATGAGAACATCAGAATCATTCATGTGTCTGCTATAGATCAATCACGCCAAAGCCAGGAGCATCAAATGATGTGTCGCTGTCCAAATACTGGGGCGCTTACTTTTTTTTTTTAGCGTGGAAGGAATGGTTTAATGGTGGAGGACAGGAGGGAGAATGAAGACAAACATCTCGTCCTGCTGTGCTGAAGGTGAGATTTGATCCAGAGGAGGTCAGAGCGACTGACTGAAGCCTGCTGATGATTTGTAGCCTGCAGTAACTCCTGGCTTGTTTACTATACACACAGCTTTAACTTCAAACCCACCCTGTTACTGTGAAGGTGGATGAAAGGAATCACTTTGCTCCATCGGCAGAGTTTCTTTTGAAACGTCTTTGACTTGAGGACAAAGCAGACGTGCTTTTGTTTTTTTTCATGAGACACTCATGTCTTCACCTCTCACCCTTTAGTTTCACACTGGTATTTTTGGTTACTCACTATTTTAGGTGATTATGTTTGGCAGATGGGAATCACACGATGGCTGATGGGTGCATGACAAGGTGTAAGGCTGCAAAAAAGAACAGCAAACACATTTTATTTTTTCATTTACAGCTATTATGATTAATATATTCATATTTACAGTTACTGACTAAATATTTACTGTGCCAAAGGTGTTTGTCAGTATAAAATGCATTAATAGCTGTTCTTGAAAGGTTCACAGCAGCTAAGTGCTCCTGCAGCAGCACCTGCAAAGACAAGTGATTTTATTAGCTGATGCTAACAGATGCCATATTAGAACCACCTGCCTAATGTTATCAAGTTCCTCCTTATGCCACTAAGTAAACTCGGATCTTTAGAGGAGCTGTGGTGTTTTCTGTTTTATGGCACCAGAAGTGTACAGCAGGTTTTTGGGGTCCTTATTTGGGCTTGTATTGATACTGTCAGGGTGTAACATGTACACTAATCAGGCATAACATTATGGGCACTGGCAGGTAAAGTTTATAACACTGATTACGTCTTCATCGTGGCGCCTGTTAGTGAGTGGGAGCAGGAAGATTGGGCAAGCATCAGGATTTTAATGGTTTTGGAAAGGGCCAAAATGTCATGAAAGACGACTGGGTCGAAGAAACTGCAGCTCTTGTGAGATTTTCTCGGTGTTCAGTATGAATCAAAAGTGGTCCAAGGAAAGAGCAGTGGTGAACCAGAGATGGGGTGATGGGCAGCCAAGACTGAAAGCTGGCCTGCGTTGTCTGATCCAACAGATGAGTCGAACGTGCTGGACGAACAAGTCCAATCCAAAGAGGTCCCACTTTGCAACTTCCACAATTTAAGGATCTGTTGCTAACATCTTGGCGCCAGATACCACAGGATACCTGCAGGGGTTTAGTGGAGTCCATGCCTTGATGGGTCAGGGCAGTTTTGGGAGCTAAAAGGGGGACCCAACACAGTATTAGGCAATTGGTCACGATGTTATGGATGATCGAGGTGCATCCTGAAGGTCACGCAGCAAAAAGTTTAAGCAAGATGATCAGTTTTATTCAGGTCACTAGTTTACTGCAATCCCCACAAAGTGATCAAAGATCAGTAATAATATTAAAAACATATTGATTGAATCAATGTCTGGATGTTTTGTCTTTGTTGAAGGCAGTGCTGTCTTTTGCTGCAGAAGACATTTCCCTTTATCATGATGGGGGCGGTAAGAACTCTGAAGTCGTATTACTATTAGACAACCAGGGGGCCCATCAGAAGGTCTGCTGACTGCTCAAATGTGATTAGATATTAGAGCTCAGGCAAAACTTCATAACACTTCCACAAACATCACATCACTCTAATACGAAATCTGCCTCGTGTTTCCCTTGTGTAGGATGACATCTACATGTTTGGCGGGAAGTTGGAAGCAGGTCCTGCTAATGTGACAGATGAGATGTGGGTGTTCAACATCCCCAGGCGTACCTGGTCGTTACGGAAACCAGTCCCGCCACCTCCTTATGCCCTGGAGGGACACACGGCACACGTGGTGGAGCTGGCCAATGGCGAGCCAGTGATGCTCATCATTTTCGGCTACTCACCAATCTACAGCTACATCAATAAAGTGCAAGAGTACAACATCAGTAAGTGTGCTTGCTGAACGATGTGCAAAAATATCATCGTCCTTTAGACTTTTCAGTTGGTTTTCATTGATGTAAGCTGGACAAAAGGAACCTTCAAAAACTGCTGATATTTTCTGTAGAACATTTCTTGAACTGGTTGGACCGTAATTAGGTGCTTTTAGGTGCAAGTAAAAGGAAAGCCATTTTTTCCTTTTGCTTCCTTCTACCATTGGATGTTCATGTTAAATGTGGACAAAGTTTCAAGCAGTGACAAAAGCTTCTGACTGCTCTGAACTCTCATATAGTAATAGCTTATGTGAGGAGGGGATTCTGCACTTATGGAAGCCAGAGGAGGGGCACCCAACCGGTAGAAAGGCTTATGGTAAAAAAGACTGACTGACTGATGACTAAAGCTAAAGTGTCTTGTTCCAGAAAAAGTAAAGACATAGTAAAGAGTCAGTATTTTTTAACTGCAAAAAAAATCTAGTGGACCTATGTTTCTGTAATACTATCAAGAAGTCTAATGTCATAAATCCAATAGCTGTCAGTAAGAATACTTCCACTTGTCCTTGAAGTGGGCAGTTGTAAAAGCACGAGGACCACAAGTTGTGTGAATTAAGAGAAGATGAGAACGTGTTGAATTTTCTTCTTTGTCGTTATAGTGATAAGTTAAAAAGACATTTAATTAAAGTCTAGGTTTAATTAAATGTCCTTTAACAATTCAGAAATGTTTGTGGCACACTGGTGATGACAGAATAAAATGGGTGCTTTAGTAATTCTGGTGTTTATAGGTTAGTAGTTTTTGCTTAAAGGTTATGCTGCTACCCTGGCTTTGCTTTCTGGGTATGTAATGCTTTGTTGCAATCTATCTGGGCTGGGTGTGGTGTTTTATGCATGGCACAACAATAAAATCCAATAAATGAAGCCAGAATAAGAAGAAAACGAGCAAAATACATCCATATTCTTGTGAATGGAGTGGTTTGTAATTGGCATTTGTTTCCGGTTTGACACTGCTTTTGTACAATTTACAATAACATTGTACTGTACAGTATACATGCTGTTGTAGTACATAGTGGAGTATAATGTAATTACCACACAATAGTCAGATATGTGATAAACAGCCTTGTGTTTCATTTCAGTTTGTTTTGAACACAATCGTGGCCTAAAGACTAAAATGACTGGAGAAAAACATCAAGCCAGACTATCTAAAAACTGAGAAGTACAACACGCACAGGCCCTGAAATCTCTTAGTCTCAGCTTTGCGTCTGTGAGCCATACTTCCCCAAGCTTCTCTGGTTGAATTTAAAACACCGACTACATTAGAAGATTTTTCTTGAAGAGTGCAGATTTTCACAGTTGCAGGCTAATTGCTGCTCCCTGATAGCAGAAAGGTTTTATGAGGAGTTTACTCTAACAGTCCATGTATGACTGATTACTGATTTTATTCTGTCTGTGATAGATGAATGTGAGCTTGCAAAGTTAACTGTGTGGACTAAAGCCACACCGTAACCCCGGTTGGCTGAGGGCCCGAGGAAATAGGTGGATGGTTCTAGTTTTTCAGGTTGAAAAAATCTTCTCCAAAGCAAGTTTACTGCTATAGTTTTGTCTGTGTAGCATCGCTTTCACATGCTTTTAAAATAATGTTGATATTGCATTTATCATCAGTGTATATCTGACTCCGTGTCTTTATGGCTGTATAGAAGATGGCGGTATTGTAATGTTGTACACCAGCTGATGGCGCTAGAACCAAATGTTTGAATAATTCTGGAGAGGAAAACACACAAGCATACACATATTTACACACTTCCCGCAAGATGCACAGACTGAAAAGCAGAGGTGTGTGCAGCCACACAATCTTTACACACACCAGTGCACAGAGCGTGGTCATTAAGAAGAGGTGGCACCTAGGCTGGATTGTCTGGGAGAAGACGGTGATTAATGAATCCGCTGCATCCCCTCACTCCTGTACCTCCTTGTCATCTTGATTTTTTTTCTCCCCCTCTCCCATCCCTCCCTCTGCACTCTTTCATTTGCTCCTCACATGCTTTCTTTCTTTTTTAAATCTCCCTCTGTGTTTTTCTTTTCACCTGCCAGCCTCAGCTTCTGACCCCCTCTGTCATCTCTTCCCCCTCTGTCCACATCACTGTGTGCTCCTCTGCCTCACCTTCTTCCTTCCTTATCTCCACTCAAACGTCTATCACTTTCATCTTCACCCACCTCCATCGATTCCCTCCTTCCTCTTTCTCTGACAGTGTCACAACGTAAGTCTGCACTGAGCATCATTAGGCTTCAGAAGGAGCAAGGAGGAGTCAGTGTAGTGTGGAAATGAACAGAGGGGGAGTCGAAGCGAAGTGTAAAATATGAGGTAAAAGGATTTAATGACCACTCGGAGAAGCGGGTTCACAGCAATTAGCTGTGAGAGATGTGATAAGAGTTGACCTTCTCCTTTCTTGTCGTCACTTCAGTGCTGCCTTTCCTCCTACCCCTGTTTCTCTTGTTCTTTTATGCTATTTTTTTCCACTCCAGGTGTGTGGTCGGCTGTCAGTTGCTCGCCGGCTTTCTTTTCTCCTGTCATTTTTCCTTTCTCAATTGAGTACAGTTCAGTGAAGCTTTTTTTTGGGCAAAATGCTGTCATTAGCAAAGAGAAATCAGATCGACAGGCTGCTAAATCATTTCAAGACTGATGTCAATATTAATATAGAAGATGAGAAACTCTGGTCTAAAAGATGAAACAAACTTTCCGCGTCCCTGCTAAAAATATGCAACAAAAATACAGCAATTTTGTTCTTCTGGCTGCTACCATCAGGACCTTATCTCTAGCATCCACTCTGTCTCACCAACTCTTAGCATGTCTTTCACTACAATCATTAATTTTCGTTGTCTTCTTGACAACTCCATATTCAAAATCCTTTTTTCCAATATATTCACTATCCCTCCTCTGCACATCTGCCTTCGTGGCCTCTGGTCCTTGCAGCTTCACTGTTACACCTGTCTACCTCTCATACACATGCATTCTGTTTTTCTTCTACTTACCTTCATTCCTCTTCTCTCAAATGCACCTCTCTGGACTCTCCTGTGCCTGCTGCCCACAGATCACAATGTCATCTGCAAACATAGTCCACAGAGACGCCTGCCTGACCTCATCTGTCAATCTGTCCATCACCACTGCAAACAAGAAAGGGCTCAAAGCACTGATGTAATCCCACCCCCACTTGAACCCATCTTTCAGTCTAACTGCACACCTCACCACTGTCTCACTGTGCTCATGCATGTCCTACACCACCCTCACGTACATCAATGCCTTCTCTAGATCCACAAAAACAATTCCTCTTCTATTCTTCCCCGTCAACACTTGCAAAACAAACAATGCATATAGTATGCAAAGTAACTGCAAAGTGCTCTCTTTAACTTTGCTCAGTTTCACTTAAGCAGCATCGATCTTTTCACAGGTATTTCTCATATATGGTTTTCTTCCATTTTTGATCTACTGCTGCATATTTTCAAGGGGGTTATATGCTATAAGAGGCCAGGCCAGGAAAAACTCCTGCATAGTTTGCTGTGTTGTATCCTCAGTTACTTTGACACAGTGGCATCTGCTGTGATACTTACACCTCTGAAGTCTCACAAGTGTTAACTTTAGTTTGATACCACACAGTTTGTAATTGCAGAGAAATGGTCAGTTCACTTTGGGCATGTCCTTTTCAAGCAGAACCTCAGAAAAACTTGAAAGTTTAATCATTAAAAAAAAAAGACTTGGGGAGTGGGGCCATCTGGTGTAACCTGATGGGATGAGGGAAAAGCAAAGACTGAAAAAAGAGCATAAACAGACAGACAACAAACAATATAACAATAAACAGAGGGCATGTTGGTGAGCTGGTAACTGCTGACCTGAAACATTCAGCTCTGGAGCCAGAGATGCCTGCAGGAAGGTACAGAGCGGGCAAAGCATGATCTGTGATATGAAAAAGGCACAAAGTTAGTGACATGAAATATTGCATGGAGCGTAAAAATGAGGCATTTTATTTTCGTTTTATTTTATTTTGCCTCCAAATATCTTAGAACTTTGAAACTAATTTAGCTTTGGTGTAATGAGCATCCACAATACCAAATAGATCGGCTTTCTCTGAATTGTATTTTATGGCTCTCGCTGTGATGTTACTATGAAGGAACGCAGTTATTATGATTTGTAATTTGAAAGTGTTTCCATTTTCCTTTTTGTACAAAGTTTGTGGAGTGTTCAGATTTGTATTTCTTTTTTTTGAAATCGTCATTCTCAGATTTTGAAAGAATCATGAGCAGTTTCAGTTCAAATGCACTCTCTCCTCCCTTTTCTGTCTCTATTTTTGATACTACGCTTGGTCTCAGAAAATTCTTCTTAGGCTTTGTTTACTTTCTTTTATTTATTGGGGTTTATCTGATGACGTAACCCCTGCCCATTTTTAAAATCATTTTTTTATGCACCTGAATTAATCTTGGCTCTTTGAAAGGCCGCTTTTAAACTGAAGAAACTCTAATTTTCTGTGGCCTCGCTCCCTGTTTGGCTCGCTCTCTCCTCTCTCTGCTTTATATCACCTCTGGAATAAAAACTGCTTTGCTTTTTGGCAAGCACAGTGAAAAGCCAAACTTGCCAAAGCATAAAAAAACATTTTAAGTGATCAACTTTGATCTTTCCACAGGGGTGCACTCCATTAATCAGCCCCTCTCTTTCCCCCCTCCCTGTTTGTTTGTGTCTCAGGGTCTAACTCGTGGCAGGTTGTGTCTTCCGGAGGTGCAGTGGTCCAGGGAGGTTACGGTCACAGCAGCGTGTATGATGAAGCCAGTGGCTGTGTGTTTGTCCACGGGGGATACAAGGCACTAAATAACAACAAATACGGCCTGGTGGACCACATGTACCGCTACCACGTCCACACAAGAATATGGTGAGAGCACATTAACAGTACTATGGATTTTTTTTTTAAAATTGCAAACATTTCTTTTTAATGCTAAACGGATATGATTTCTTCAGCATCAAAAAAAAGAAAAGAAATTTACTTTGATGTCCATGGTAAACATAACAGCTGTCTGAATCATGGTAACTCCAGTTTAGCTGTTTGTCGTGTTCAGGGCTATACAGAGGTTTGACCAATCCCATCATGCACTAGGTGAGTGGTTCTCTAATTGGGGTGCAGGGACTACATAGTGCCGGTGACTGAATTACATCAATAACACAAGTGAAATGAGTCCATTACTCTTTCCCTCATTATCTTTTGGCCATAGCACACCATGCACTCCATGCACTCTGTTATGAAATCACTCACTTCTGTGAGTTTGCAGCAAGGTTCCTGCTGCTACATGGCTTGGCTCAGCTTAATAGCTGGTGAGTGTTTAGAAATATGTGAAATATACCCAAGCTATCAAAAGTAGTGTTTATATTATGTTGGCGTCTTAAGAAAATGTCCTCACTGGCTGCAAAAAAGGTCAACCCTTAGTTTAGATCATAGGCAGGGTGCATCCTGGACAGGCTCACAGAACCAGCATAAATATTCAAACATGTTTTAAAGTTAATTGAAATCCAGCAAATCACAGCTCAAACATCACTCCACTGTAATCGTGTTTTGATTCACATGCAATTTACCAAAAGTAGATGTTGGTCAGCTCGTGTCCCCGGCCTGTTCACGTACTGCAGTTTTAAAGCTGCAGGTGTTTCCATTAAAATGTTCTTCTTTACATTACAGATAATGATTTTGTTCTTTTTAATCCTGCTGCTTTTCCTGACTTTTCCTGATGTCATTAGTCACTCTGAGATGATTAAAACATTACTTCCACCCTGTTGCCTTTTAGACATTATTCATGCATTCTTGCAGCCTTTAGAGGACTTGCATGAAGGAGAGATTTTCATAACAGAAATTTATGCAAAATCATAATGCGCCAGAAACAAGAGTATCCCTTGAGGAACAGTTCTTCACAATGGGTGTATTTACCTTTGATATGGTCCTATTTACCTTTGTTAAACGTTGAGGCTGAAATCATTGAATTTAGCAACTTTGTTACACAGACCAAGATAAATTTGTGAATGCAACAGCAGTGCGTTTGCAAATAAGCCTGTTATTATAAAGATATTGTACTGTTTACATAACAGCTTAATAAAGAAATGTTTCACCATTTAATAAAAAACATGTTTAATAAGAGTTCTTAATAATAGTAGTGAAAATATGATAATTTATTGTAGCCTCATGTCTTAGAGGATAAAAGAGTCTGCATAAAAGCTGACTTAATAACTAGTTAATGTGATAATATTAATAGTTCTGTGTAATCACTTTAAATATACACAAACTCTTTCTGAGGAAGCAAAATCACCAAGTTCCTGTCAGAAAGAGGAGACTAGAGTGAGAATGCAAGGATCTGCCTGGAGCTTTGACCTCAGATGAACTCTGACAGATGGATTGGTGAAAGTGGATGCTGGGCTCTATCGTGCTCTTAACATCTTTTAATATACATGCGGACAGTGGACACACAAGTAGGCATACATTAACAAATGCTCACATGTGCATGCAATCTCTCTGTGCCCCTCACTTTCCAGCTGGAATGTGTTGTTGGAGTAGAGTGTCACTTGAGCTCTTGGACTGATGAAATTCCCAGACTGACACATCCCTGGGTGTTCCACTGATTTATACTTCTCCCTACCAATGTAAAGATCATCTGGCCTCTGTCAGTGTAAAGCTTCTGACAGGCGTACCACAGCATGACAATCTTTTCTACGTGACATCTATATGTTAGTGGTTCCCAACTGATCTGTAGCCATTAAATTTGTCACATATACTGGTCAGTTTAACTCCTATTCCAAACTGTTGGACGACAGCACATTTTGCTTCTGTACAGCTCTACAGTAGCTTTTCCCCCATCTTTTCTCGTGTTTGCTCCCTGTAGATGGCTGCTCTACAGGTAACCCAGGATTTGCTCAAACCTGGAGAACTGCCTTCTCTTATTTTTCACCCTGGTCAATTGAATAACCTTGAAAAAACACTAAAGCTTGATGATTTTTGCATCACTGGGAGTGTAGAAGCCTCTAAAAAAAATATCCTAAAGAGTTTGGTAGCTATTCCAACACCTAGTCTTTGGTTTGCTTGATTGTTGGCTTTTTCTATATTCATTATTCTTGATTTTACATTTTTATAACCTTGTAATGGTGTGAGATATTTACATTTATTGGCAATGTGACCTTAATTGGATTTGTTAAATTACACATGTATTTTTTGTTTGATAAAAATGTTTTTAATATACAGATATTTCAAGCTCTTAGAAGTAGACGTTTGTTTTGTTTTGGGGTTTTTTTTGTTTGTTTTTTGTCAATGTTTTAGAATCAATAAATATGACTTCCATTCCAGGTCGCTGTTTCAATACCATATTTAAAGTATGTTCTGAGTACTCGTTGCCTTCTCACAATAGAGATAACGACGCTGCTCGTACATATAAAAAGTCTGACATGAAGTAGTGGGTCTAGTTTCAGTATGAGAAGATTTAAATCAGTTGAAGGCAGGGCAGAAAATCAGCATTGCTGCAGTAAATTAAGCCACAGATAGATACTGCAGTTGTTCTCTACTTTACAACCTTTGACCTCAGAGAGATTGGACACCACAGACTGAGACCCCCTACAATGTCAGGTGTGTGTGTGTGTGTGTGTGTGTGTGTGTGTGCGGGGCTCCTGTGAAAGAACAGTTGGTATGAAGGGCAGTCACCACAGGCCAGGTCACAACATGAGACAGACGCCATCAGTTGCAGTACATGCATCTATGGACACACATGTCACGCAGACACACGCATAGCTGACAAATTGATGCTTTCCTGACGTGCCTCACATTGCTGATTAACCCAACTCTGTGTGGGTGTGTGTTTGTGTGTGCACGCAGGTTAATCCTCAAGGAGAGTGGTTTGGCACGGTACCTCCACTCGGCGGTGCTGCTGAGTGGCACAATGCTGGTTTTTGGGGGAAACACTCACAATGACACATCTCTGAGCAACGGAGCCAAGTGTTTCTCTGCAGACTTTCTGGCTTATGATATTGGTAAGAACAAGTCACATATAAACAGACACTTTCACATGGGTGGATGCTAGATTTTGAAGCAAATGTTGGTGTGAACACCAGTTTTCTTGTGCACAGCTATTAAAGGTCAGCCACTTGGCAGGTAGGTTGTTCCAGCTAAACACCTCTCCAGAGTTCTCATGTGGATTTAGTCATGCCAGGGTCTTTTGTATCTTCATGTAATCCAAAACTGACTTAATAATGTTAAGATAAGGCGTCTGTGGGTATATTTCACCGTCTCTTCTCACAGGCAGATAAGACAGTGAGATATAGTTTTTGCTGCACTCCCTGTTTTTGAGTTAATTTGTGATATATGCCTGCCTGATGGTATTAGTTATTATTGATTAATAACTGGAACATCTAAAGGTGCTTTCATTTATTTAATTCTTCCTCTAAGGCTGGAAAATAGGTCCTTTCATTGAGTGATCTGGATGGAATTCACAGAATGTCTTTTCAGATAGATTTCCTATTTTCTGTTAATTTGATATAATACTACTTGGAACCAAAACATTCAGTTTCTACAGTAAACTGTATATAATAGGTGGCTCTAGCGTCTGAGTCTCAAAAGTGAAGCTAATTCAGAAGTACCGTAAACAATAATTTCCCCCCCACTACCAGCAGGGGGCGACTCCTCTGGGTTCCAAAAAATTGACATGTTTATTTTGTAAATATGGTCCTGTTGTGAGTAAAGTAGAATATGCTTTAATATAGAGCTCTGCCAAGCCACAAGTGTGCAGTGTGTCTGTTTTCAGAGCCGCTCTTTGTATGTTCAAAAAATTAAGATGATGACAGTCAAAATATTCAAGTCAGAGTTTAAAAACCAAGCTTCAAAATCACCACTGGGTAACAACATGGTGTTTTTATCTCTCTTTTAAAAAAATAATTTCACTTTTTGGGGTTTTCTCTTTGATTTTTTCTTTTTCTTTTGTCCTTCCACTTCCATCTGTTGCTGTTAAATAGCCAGATTTGCCTCGTGCCTACTTTTCTACATATAAAATTGCCTGCTGCTTCTAACCATGACTTGTAGTTGACTAAAAGGGGATGCTTTAACCTCACATCTACACTCTGAGTGCTCCTGCTTGCAAGGAAAACATGTTTTTAAATTATGTTCTATATCTTATGTACGATAAGCCTTGGTTTGCTCTCAGTTCTGGTATTATTATTATAAGCATTCTACATATTTATATTCTGTATTCACAGGTGATATTATCTGCAGGGCAGTTCCATTCACTAGCCACTCATAAGCATAATATTCAACTCATCCTGACCATCAAGCTTTATGTAGTATTTATTTGTTCTTATTAGTCATTTAGAGTGCTTTCTTCTAAAAAGAAACACACATGCATATGGTATTTGGAAGCGATTTCCTGGTGTGAATCCAATTTGTGCAGCAACAGCATGTTGAAATGCCCTTAATAGTACATAGAGGAAGCTGCAACGTTACTGCGCTGTGACAGACCTAAAAACAAGCTAAAAATATTCTTGCAGCCAGAAGAGACAGTAAGAAAGAAACCAAGACTGTGTAAGGTTGCGAACACTGCAGTATAGGTATGGAGTATTGATGATTAAGGATCCCATTATAGGCTAACCAGTTACACCATCAACCAGATGGTATGGGAACATTAACAGCCCTTGACAGGGATAGAAAGAGACAATAATGAAAGGGGCTTCAGGTGAGGAAGATGTAGATTAGTTCTGCTCTTCACAGGAGGAAACAGTGTGCAGTAGATAGATTAACAGAAAGAAGGAGGAAACGATAAAGATTTGCGAATATTTATGCAAAAGGTCCTGAAAAAATCGAGTGAAAGTGAAACATGAACAGGAAAAAGCAGCATGTTGGTGATGGTGGTTCTTTAACTGTATATTTATCTGCATGTAAGGTCAGCAATGCTTGCCAGTGTCTGTTAGTGGTGAAATAATTGTTTTACTGCAAAAAAAGTCATTCAGAATAATCGTCTGCCAGTTTTTATACTGATCAGTGTTTCTTTGACTATGTGATCAGGGGTGTGAGTGAGACATTCATGGCATAGAGCCTCGGGTGTGGTTCACCTGGTCAAATCTGATTTCTAATCACATGGCACTAATAGTGAGAGGCAATGGAGACCCTTTGTTTATTTATTTAAGATACTTTTTAGGTTTTATTATATCCTCGAGGTGCAGAATATGTTAAAAATTTCCGCTTAGCCACAGTTCATCCAACAGATGTCAGTGCAGTATGTTGGGATGTTGCTGGAATTTAAAAGCTCGGAACAAAAGGAGCAGAGCCTTAAAACGTCTAAATGGAAATCATGTAGGGATTATACTTGGGAAAAATATATTGTAGAAAAAAGTTTATATTTTTAAATATTGTTATTTAGAATGTGTTTTTCTTTTTTTTTTTTTTTCTTTTTTTTAAATTTACGGTCTGCCAAGAATTGGGAAAACAATTTTATTGAAGCAGCAATTATAGATTGTTTAGGCATCGCTGGGTGAAATGTGCAAGTTTTCATATCAGGGAAAATGAAACATGCTAATGCTGACCTAGCTGTTTTGTAAGGGTCAGGAGCTTGTTATCTCTTAAGTTGGTGGCCACATCCACATCACAAATGTTAAATGTAATCAGATTAAATTTTTTTTTTTTTTTTTGCCTGTCCCATTTGGTTCTTTAGCCATCAGAATTGTTGTCTGAAGATTAAATATTTTTTTGAGTGCATTCATAGAATTACATACACCCTGCACTAGACTTGACCAATTATTCATCTATTTCGCCATCTTTCTGTAGGTGATGTTGATGCTCTCCTCTTGTTTTCAAAGTTGCTGATCAGGTTTATTATAGTCCTTTGAAACCTGTCAAGTGATGTCATGACCTGTTGTATTGTCACTTTAACTAAAACTTTAGTTTTATCCAGAAATCTCAACCACTGCTTCGACAGCAACTTCTCAAACTAAGATCCACTAAGCTTTTTAGAGTAAGTAAGTAAAATTTATTTATATAGCGCATTTCACCGATAAAAATCACAAAGTGATTCATAATAAGATCAGACATACAGGTTAAAATAAATTAAAAGCCCGTTTGTATAAAAATATCTTCAACTGCTTTTTAAAGGAGTCAGTAGAGTCTAGACAGCGTAAAGACAACGGCAGAGAGTTCCACAGCCTAGGTGCCAGTGCCTGAAAAGCCCGATCCCCACGTGTTTTAAACCCAGTACGTGGGACCACCAGTAGCCTCTGACCTGAAGACCTAAGTGCTCGGGATGAAGCATGAGGTTTCAACAGGTCAGAGATATACTGGGGAGCTTCACCGTGCAGAGCTCTAAACAACTAAAATTTTAAAATGAACCCTAAAATTTACTGGCAACCAATGAAGAGAAGCCAAAACTGGAGTAATGTGTGACTTCTTGTTTGTACCAGTTAAGACTTGCAGCTGCATTCTGTACAGACTGAAGGCGATCCAGAGCTGATTTGTTGAGATACCTAAAAAGACCGTTACAATAATCCAAACGAGAAGAGATAAAAGCATGAAGAATCATCTCAATTCTGCCTTTGACACAGCAGTCTGAGTTTAGAAATGTTTCTTAAATGATAAAAACAGTTCCGGACAAGTTGTTTAGAGTGCTTCTCAAGAGTTGTTTAGAGTGTTTCTTAGAGTGCTTTCAGCCATGACAGAAGGTCTGCATATAATGCTAATGTGCTCAGCTATTCTGTGTTTGAGTTGTAGTTGAAAGCTGCAAGTATTTTCTTTTAAATTTATAAAAATGGGCTTTAAAATGCTTTTTTGTACTTGGAAAAATCAGCCCACTGTCCAAATCTGTCGTCCTTCCCACTCTCTCTTTCATATTTCTCGTCACTCCTGTAAATTACAGAACAACAGGAAAAAAGCGACTGCTGATATTAGAGTAGCAGGTGTGAGGAGGGTGATGAAATAAAGTAGAATAGTGCTAAAGAAGGAGAGAGGGACGAACACGGAGTAGAAGAGAAATAAAGAGTAAATGAAGTAGGGATTTAGGGAGGGGAATGGAAGCACTGCGGACTTGTGAAAGAGAATTACCTAAAGACATTAAAGGTGTGCCAGGGTGAAGATGATGATAAGCTTGTGAACAAAAGGCAAAATAAAAGGTGATAAACAATCAGGCATGGGTTTACAGAACGTCCCCATCTTAATGAAGGTGAAAGCCAAATGGTTTCAGATACTGTTTTCGCTCCATCAACGCTTGCAATAAATGTGTGAATTTACGTGTCCCTTAACTCTGTGCAAACACCCCTGTCTTCATAAATATCATAATTTATTCATTACTGCTTTTATCACCCGCAACTTTTGTCCGTTTTCAAGCTTGAGCTTACCGGAGAGGCAGATAGATGCTGCATTATAGTTTAGGTGGGAAGATGAAAAACCAAGAGGAAAGATGATGACGTGAATGATCATCAGCTGGAGAAAATAATATGTTGCAGTCAAATATTTATTTGTTTTTTAAATATTACTCATGTGTGTAACTTAACTGGGCCTTTGCACATTTTAATCTGGCCCACATGTTGCTTTAGGTTCGTATTCATTTTGCTTCACCAAGGTGTAGCTGTGGCCTACACAGTGACACTAGGGCCATGCACCTATCAGCCTAAACAGACGGGTGAACCTCCACAGCACCTGCAATCTAACTAAAGCTTCAGTTGCACAAGGCCGAGACTCCTCCACGAGAACTATGGATGAACAAAGCAGTCTACTAGAGGGATGGAAGCTCTTACAAGTGGTTTTAACCGGAGCCATGTATACCTATTGTTGACCATTTTCACCTGGACACTAGCAAGCAACTTTCAGCAATCATTCGTCAACCAGTCAAGACCAACCATAGCAGTCAATGGTTAGGTTATGCATAAAAATGTTTACTATAATATTTTGTTTATAATTACAGTTTTGTTAAAACTGCATATGTGTCCTTTGTACAAATGTGACAAAGGCATTTTGTACATCAAGCAGTTCTGATGGGGACCAAGAGTTTTTCCAGTGT